TTTTTCCCAAAGTGACTTAAGTAACATTCAAATCTGAGCTCCTCACCAGCTGGGTCTCCCAGCCTCAGTTTTCAGGCATGCCTCTTGAGCTCTAAGAGGGTAGGAGGTGCCAGGCACTGCTTTGTGCCCTTGGTCAACTCCCTTACCCTTCTCTGGACACTTCCTCATTAGTCAACAGATGGATTCAGGTGGACTCTGGCTCAGGGCAAAACTGTTCCTTTGGCCCTACATCCTGCCCTGTCCAGGTGTGTAGGGGGCAACTCAGATGCCAGGTGCAACCAGGGCAGTGGGCACAGTCCCACAGAAGGCACTGGGCCAGCCNCTCTCTCTCTCTCTCTCTCTCTCTCTCTCTCTGTATATGTATTAATACTGTTTCTCTATCTCCCTCTCCCTTCCTCTCTCTAAAATCAATAAAAACATATTTTTTAAAAAGATATTACAGATATTAAAAGCAGTATGTGCTTATAGGTATTCATTTTATTCTAGAATACATATTATGATGCTGCATATAAAATACTATATACATATTTTTAGGCAGGACAAAGTATTTTGCAGGTAATGTTGTGTCCTTCACAGGACATTACAGCAGGGGGCACATGAGCATTGCCTGTCCCATCACTGGTGACGTTAACTTTGATCACTTGGTTAAGGTGGTGACTCCTAGGTTTCCCCACTGGCACCTTTTCCCCATTATAATTAACAAGTAATCTGTGGGCTGGTCCTTTGAAACTGAATATCCACTTTCTCATCTTTGAGCCTTGCCTGAATCATTTATTTTTTTATATTTTATTGTTTTAATCTTTATTGTTGAAAATATTACAGATGCCCCCTTTTTACCCCCATTGATCCCCTCCACCCCATACCCACCCTACCCCCAGGCCTTCCCCATACCAATGTCTGTGTCTATGGGTTATGCTTACTGAATCATTTATTCATCTACTGGCTGCGAAATGGTGATTTTTCTAATTCAACCTTTCCTTCTGCATGCAATAGTTGGCAATCCAGAATTTTTTTTTTTTCCCAAAGTGACTTAAGTAACATTCAAATCTGAGCTCCTCACCAGCTGGGTCTCCCAGCCTCAGTTTTCAGGCATGCCTCTTGAGCTCTAAGAGGGTAGGAGGTGCCAGGCACTGCTTTGTGCCCTTGGTCAACTCCCTTACCCTTCTCTGGACACTTCCTCATTAGTCAACAGATGGATTCAGGTGGACTCTGGCTCAGGGCAAAACTGTTCCTTTGGCCCTACATCCTGCCCTGTCCAGGTGTGTAGGGGGCAACTCAGATGCCAGGTGCAACCAGGGCAGTGGGCACAGTCCCACAGAAGGCACTGGGCCAGCCAAGACAACCAGTTGCTCAGTGGGAGTGGCAGAGGTCAGCAGAACAGGAAGAAGAGGACAATAGCTGAACCTGTTGCCATGGCAATCTCGGTGCTTGCCAGCTGGGTGGGGCCCGCCGGCAGCCCTCAGCAGCTAAGCCCAGGGCCCACTCTCACCTTTCACTTTGCTCCTCTGCTGGGTCCTGGGATGCACAGCAGCTCACTCTGGGGACTGCAAAGACCCAGTCATTTAATGAGGCTTGAGCATGGTTGTAGCAATTAGAGGCCTCCAAGGAACTACAGTTTCCAAGAACACACAGTGAGCTCCTGGTCTAGCCCCAGCTGCGTTAGTGGCCGGCTTTGAAGTAGAACAAGGAAATAGCTTACCTGTCCTGGGAACTGAGCGTCCTGGCCTTTGCTAGGTGCGTTTGTGTCTTTGTTTCTCTGATCTCCCACCTGAGCAACCCTGGTTACAGGCCAAACCTGGAGATGGTGAGATTACCTGGTCCTTTCATACACACATGTGTGCTCTGTACCGCGTGGGGTGGCAGGTTGTTCACAATCAGATGGAGGAAACTGAATCATTGAAAGGTCAGTCTCTGAGGGCAGGGGCTTGGGTTGCCTGGGTACCATTTGTACGCCAGCACCTAGTATGTGCTCTATAAATGTTTGCTGGTCTAATCAACAAGTGAACAGGCCATCTCGCCCTGTCTTCCATTCCATTGCATCCTTTCACACTGCTTTGCTATCTCCTACGATATTGCACTATCCTAATGGGCTTTATCTCTCTGTCTGGCCTCCAGGTCATTGTACACGCTGTTCCCTCTACTAGGAGCATATTCAGCTTACTCGTGTGTGTGTCCGTAGAGATAGGACAGAGCCTGGCACCGAGCAGGGGCACATTAAATATTTGATGAGTGAATGAGTGAATGAATGAATGCCCTTGTCCATTGTACACCGCAGGAAGCAGAGACACTCAGGACCCTCCCTATTCATCTCAATCCTCCGCCCGCCAGCCTGGAATGAATGCATCTTTTTATCCGCTCCGAGGATGGCCGGGCTGGGGCAAGGGCAGGCTAGGCGGAGAACTGAATTGGGGGGCTGCCCTCGGGCCCCTTCCCAGGCCTCCTAACGGGTCCGCGTTTCCGGACGTTGAGTTTCCCTTCTCTTCCCAAAATTCAACCTCGGTCACCTGGCTCCCACCGCCAGTCCCCTTCCGGTTACCACTCAGTACCCGCCAGAAAGACGGACACTCAGCCCGCAGCGCATGGCCCAGGGCCCCCAGCTTCCCATTGGTCGCTCGTCTCTTTCCTTCCCCTCGATTCACCGGGACCCAGCCTCAGCTCCCCCCTCCGCAGTCCTGCGGTGGTATAGCCCGCCGCGGCTTAGGCGGGGCGGGAAGGTCCACTGCGCTGCAGCGCGGGGGAGTCGGGAAGAGCCGGACGAGGCGGAGGGATCCCTCTGGAATGTTTCCGTAAGATCTACCAGACTCGTTGAGGCGCGGCATGGATTGGCCGCGGGCTCCTGGAGGCCACTCCTGATTGGTCGAGAGCGTCAACTGGCCCCGCCCCCTGTTCGAGGTTGCGGGAGAGGCCCCGGCCCGAGTTTGCAGTGGGCAGAGCTGGGCGCGCGCAGGGAGGCGGCGGCGCAGGTGAGTGATCCCCTCTGGTGGGTCAAGGCGCTGCAGCTCCGGGGACCCTATCGTGATCCTGCAGGAATCGGGCTGATTGTATGGGGTGGGGGCGGCCTCATGGGCGCGGCCCGAGTCGGCTGGGCAGGCAGGGGGATGCCTGAGGCCCCTTCCCAGCCGGGAGCCTCCCTTCCCTCTTGGGGCAGGGGCCAACGCCTCCGGCCGCTGGGATGAGGTCTCCAGCCACACCCCTGCACCCCTCTACACAGCCCCCGCCCAGGCACGAACGGACGCGGGATCGGTATTTCTGAGCTCTACCCAGGCACCTCCCGGAGCTGGCGGCGGCTCAGTCCTCCAGGGCCCAGGGGGGCTTGAGAAGTACTGAGGTCCCGATAATAATAATGAAAAAAATCACCCTAGCGTTGATTGAACACTTCCGTGTCAGGTATTTACCGTGCAGATCATTGAATTTAAACACTTCATAGAAGGCCCTCTTACTTCTTTTAGTAGTGAAGCAGCAGACCCAGAGAGGTGGAATGACTTGCCCAAGGTCACACAGCTAGTAAGTGGCAGATCTGGGACTCAAACCCATACCTCAGAGGCCAGAACTGGAATCTCAACAACTATACTACATGTCCAGTGGCCCCATGGCTCAGATGTTCCTGAGCAGCTCCTCCACCTGCTGCTGTCCCCCCACCCCCCCACACACAAACACTATACATACTATCTGGGCCACACCTGCTGTTCTTTGCTTTTCTCACACTCCCACCTCCCCCCTAGAGGTCACCAGACACCAGCTCCTTAAGCAATAAGCTGCACCCATGCCCCTTCTTCCCTGAGTTGGAAGACAAGGCTGGAGTACCTGGGTCCTGAGAATAGAGTGACATCTTCAGGGAAGATAGGCAGGGGGCCAGGATGCTGGGGTCCCATGCCTGCTGGGTCCCCCTGGGAAGCCTGGGCCCATGCCAGGGCAGTAAGCATTCTCCCCGGAAACACCCAGGAGCTGGTTTTTCAAGACTGAATCAGAGGCCTCCCGCCCTCCTCTCCAAAGCAATATCCTGCTGGACAGGGGAACCTGGGTGTGGTACCCGCCACTAGCTTGTGTGAGCTCCTAGGAACCCCCTTCCCCCGCTTCCTGCCCCCCATTATGATTCTGTGTGGCTGTGGGGTTGCTAAGTTTCAGGCCTTTCACAGGGAAGAGAGGGTGCGGATGCTGGAATTCCAGCTAACCCAATCTGTGCCAGGGCTGAAACTCTTCTCAGGCCCTATGTTCAGGTTTGAGGGGAGCCTAAGAACAAGGGGACAGGGTGGCAGTTCTCCACGGCAGACTTGTTCTGAGGATTTAGGGGCTCAGAGAGCACTCAGAATGAAGATATAAGATACTTTCATTTATTGTACAAATATTGAGCACCTACTCTGTGCCAGGTACTGTTCTTGGTACAGAGGATTCAACAGTAAACAAGACAAAAATCTTTGCTCTTGGGGAGCTGTCATTCTAGTAGGGGAAACAGGCAGCAAACAAGCTAACAGGTAAATAAAGAAGATACCTACAGATGATGTGCTATGAATAAAATATGAGGGGCTGGCATGCTAGAGACTCTGGGCAAGGGGGGTTCTCAGAGGAGGTGACTTTGGAGCTGAAGCCTGAATGACAAAAAAGGAACCAGCCCTGCAAAGATCAGGCAGAGGGCACAGCCAGGGCAAAGGCTCTGAGGCTGGACCAAGCTTGGAATACAGTGGCTGGAGCAGGAGATGCAGTCACAGTGGCAATTCTGCGAGTCAAGGGTCATATTAAGGAGTTTGGAGCTTTTTCTCTGTGAGGTGGGAAACTGTTGTAAGATTTGAGGCAGGAGAGTAACATGATCTGGTTTACATTTTAAAATAGAGACACGGAGTTAAATAACAGCCTAAGACTGGAAGACAAGAGTTCTGCCAGGGCAACATGTAATTAAGTTCATGGGCCTGAGCCGTCTGGACCCTAGGGGTGATTCTAAGATGGTGGGGCAAGCTGGGGAGGCTGCTAGGAGGAGGTGGCCTGGAGTAGGCCTTGGCAGGCAGAGAGGACTGGGATGTTCCTGGGCAGGATGGGGAGGAGGCAATATAATAATGACAATAACAATAACAGCTTCCTTAAATTGAATGTTAGGCAAAGTGCTAAGCAGGTTACATGCATAATCTCTTTGAATCCCCACAAGCACTCTGAGAGACTGGAATTCTGTTCATTTTTCAGATGAGGAAACTGAGGCCCTGGCAAGTGAAGTGAGTTGCCTACGGCCACACAGTTGGTAAGTGGTAAGGGTGGGATTTGAACCCAGACCACCCTGCCTCTTCTGGCCTGGGAGGCAAATTCATTAATGACCCACTTTCTTCACCACTGTGATTCCTCCTTGCAGGTGAGGACATGGCTACCAGCCTGAACCAGGGCACTGAGTGTGAGCAGAGAGAATAAGGAGCTTAGGAATTGGTGAATAGAATGTGGGGTCCTGAGGAAAAGAGGACATTTGAATCTTCTGTTTATAGATGGAAATAGTAATAATCACCAATCTTTATAGAACCCTTATATTGTGTGCCAGGAACTGTTCCAGGCACATGTATGATTTCCTTAGAACTCAGAGAGCTTGAGACACTTGCCCAAGGTCACACAGTTACTAAGTGGGGAAGCCAGATTTCAGACTCAAATTCTTAGCATTCTACCTTCCACTGTAGGGTGGGGGAGGGGAATCAGGGGAGGTGATGATGAGGGTTTTGTTGTTTTTTTAAATCATTGAGTGTAATGGAATAACTTGGGGAGGCAGTACTGGTTTATTCATTCAGAATTTATTTTTTGTCAAATATTCAGTTAGTGCCTAATGTGTGCTAGATCCAATGATGGGTACTATCAATGAAAGTAACCAATAAAAGACTAGTCTTCAGAATATATAGTGTTACTATCCAGAATATATAGAGTTCCCACAAATCAATGAGACAAGTTGTGTAATTATTTTTAAATGGGAAAAGACTTAAACAGACAAGTCACAAAAGGGAAAATCTAAATGGTTGATGAATGTATTAAAAGGTATTCAGCATCATTGTCTCTCACAAAAAGGTAGAGAGACAATAACTGTCTCCATGGATAGATGAAGCACCTGCCCTGTGCCCAGCTCTATGCTGAGAAGCAAGGGATAGGGGACCACAGAGGTGAGGCTTGTGTTTTTGCTGGGGAGACAAGACCCTCTTGAGGGCAGAGATTACACCCTGTGCCCCTTTGTCTCCCCAGAGCCAGGCATTGGGTCTGGTGGGCTGGTGAATATTAGGATAAATCATTCAACAAATATTTATTGAGCACCTATTATGTGCCAGGCACTGTTCTCTGCACTGAGAGTGTAGAGATTAATAAGACAGACAGAATTCCCTGCCCTTTCAGAAAACAGACAATGAACAAGATAAATGAATGAAATATATTTTCCGCTTGAAAGACGTGAGAGTGAGTTGTATGGATACCAGGGAGCACAGTCAGTGCGAGGCCCTGAGGCTGGACTATGCCTGATGTGTTGGGATGAGGCCTATGTGACTGGAGGAAGTGAACGAGGTGGAGAGTGGGAGGAGATGAGGGCAGGGAGGTCACGGGAGGGGGAGCAGATCTTTGGGGACCCGTGGGCTGAGGGGAGGACATTGGCTTTTACTCTGAGTGAGTTAGGAGCCCTGGAAGGGTTCACAGCACAGGATAGATGTGATATGGCATATGTTTTACAGGATCACTCTGGCTGCTGTGTTGACAAGACACTGTGGGGGGGCAAGGGTAGAAGCTGGAAGACCCGGAGGAGGCAACTGCATTACTCTAGGTGAGTGGTGATGGGTCTGGACCAGGTGATACTAGAGGAGGTGTTGGAGAATAGATGGATGGATGAATGAATAAACGGATGAATGAATGAGGACAGGTGCTGCCCACTGGGCTCGACTGAATCTAGCACAGCTTGTGGAATAGGCAATCTAAAGGGAGGGAACATGAAGTCTTTTACACAGAAAAATATAAATTGGTATAATTTGACCCTCATCGCAACCTGGCCAGGGATAAAATGTCCCCATCTGCAGGCCAAGCATCTGAGGCCTAGGAAGATTGAGTCACTTAGGGGACAGGCTATTAATTGCGCTTGTGAGTCAGACATGAGGATGTAGCCGGTTTCTATGACTTTGGACATGTCACTGAAAAATAAAATCTGAACTCTCCCAGTCTATAAGGCCCTGCAAAATTCCCTAATGTCGCCTCTTTCACCTTCCCTCTTCACACCCTCCCAGTGCTTACTCCACTTCATCTACTCTGGTCTCTGGCCGATCTGTGACCTGTGTCTGTGAATCTGCTCAGAACCCTCCATGGCTGCCACCTCATGCAGAGCAAAAGCCCAGGTCCTCCCTGCAGCGCACAAGGCCCTGCTATATCTGCCTGTCACCTCCCCACAATCTCCTCCTGCTGTCCCCCTTACTCACTCTTCCAGCTACATGGGCTCCTCGCTTCTCAAACATGCCAAGCACCTCAGGGACTTTATACTGGCCGTTCCCTCTGCCTGGAACGTTCTTGCCTCACATCCTCATGTGGTTGCTTCTTCCCATCAGTCAAGTCTCAGGTTCAGCTTCACCTGCTCAGAGAGGCCCTCCCTGACCTTGTCTATGGAACTTTTCTTGTTTTATTGTCTTCGTGGGACTATTAGAAGTTACATTAGATATTTATACCTCCTCCTCTGAATTGCATGCTTCTGGACAGTATGACAGGGCCCTATCTAGCCAATATAGCACGTAGGAGTGAATTAGGAAAAAGTAGCCCTTCCTCCCAGCATACACATCACGCCAGGGTCTGGTGCTTTTGCACAGTGAACAAACTGTGTAACTGCACATGGTGGCCCCAGCCAGGGACCTTCCTTATTGAAGGCAGTATCTAAAATGGTGAATGGAATATTTTAAATACCAAAAAAAATGTTTGTTGGAAGGGAGGGAGGGAGTAAGAAAGAGAGAAAGAAACAGAGGATTGGGGAAGAGAGGAAAGAAAACTAGTGTATCAATCAGGACAGGTTGTGCTGCAGTAACAAACAACTTAGTGGCCAAACAAAAATCTTAGTGGCCAAACTCAACAAAGGTTTAATTTTTATTCCACGTCTATTGCAGCTTGTCAGGAACTTCCATTCACTATAGTTACTTAGGGCCTGGCCTGATGGAGCCACCACCATATCAATTGTGGCTGGTCACCCTGCCAGGGAGAAACAGACCCCTGAAGGCTCTCCCTCTAGTAATTAAATGCTTCAGCCAGAAATGTCATGTGTTACTTTCTCTCACAACTCATTGGCCAGGACTAGTGACATGTCTGCCCAGTCATAAGGAGGTCTGTAAGTGCCATCTGCCTATGTGCTTTGAAGGGAGAATTGGAAATTTTTTGCACAGCACTAATGACTGCAACTTATAGAAAAATAAAGAGAAATTTAACTACTCCATTTTCTCATCCTTTAAATGGGTGTAATTATCACATAATATGAGCCCTACAACATGATGTGGTGTAACAATTAAATAAGGTCATGGAGCAGTTAGCATGGGTTGTAATAGATATTAGCTGCTAATATTATGTATGAGTGTAAAAGTGCTAGAATGGGGATTGGAACTGAGGCCATCTATTCTCTGACTATGTCATTGGGCCATTAGGGTGCTAATGGGGGGGGGAGTGGGCCTGGGGCCACTACCCAAGCCCTAAACCTACTTTGCCACCCTGCAGATCTTTTGGGCGTGCCCCCGCTTCCCGCTGCTCATGCCACTGGGACTGGGGCGGCGGAAAAAGGCGCCACCTCTGGTGGAAAATGAAGAAGCTGAGCCAGGCCGTGGTGGGCTGGGCGTGGAGGAGCCAGGACCCCTGGGTGGAGGTGGGGCAGGAGGCCCCCAAATGGGCTTGCCTCCCCCTCCCCCGGCCTTGCGGCCCCGCCTTGTGTTCCACACCCAGCTGGCCCATGGCAGTCCCACTGGTCGCATCGAGGGTTTTACCAACGTCAAGGAACTGTATGGCAAGATCGCCGAGGCCTTCCGGCTGCCAGCTGCCGAGGTACACACCAGGGAGCCCCAGGAGTCCCCATGGTGGGCTAGAGGCCTGGACATGCATTCTGGTCCTGAACTGTGGCTCAGGTGCCCAAGCTGCAGATGCTAAGGTGCACCACACTGAATTATGGGGATTGGAGGTCAGGGTTGGATGCTGAGTTTCCATCAAGTATTGGGAAACCTGTGCCTCAGTGGATTATGGGAACTGATGTCCAGGACTGAATGCTCCATTCCCATGACACATTGAGAGGCTTCTACCCCAGTGGATTGTGGGGATCTGGTGCAAGATATACTTCTCCATGATGCATAGGGAGGCCTGACCCCAAGGACTTTGGGCTCAAGGAAAGAGAGGACAGGAGGTATTGAGCAAGAAATAGCTACAGGGATCTTAGTAGGTTGGGTGGGTGTCTATGCTCTTCATTCCTTCCACAAGCACTTACTAAGCACCCACAGTGGGCCAGGCTCTGTGCCCTGGAATCAACAGGGAGGTTTTGCGAAGACAGAAATTCCAACCCTAGACGAGCTTGACATCCCAGTAGGGGCCCTGCCCTGGCTTGGGGAGGGGGGCGGTCAGGCACTGGGGTGGGAACCCCCAGGCCTTTCCAGACTCTCCTCCCTTCTTCAGGTTGGGGTTGCAAAGGATGAGGGAGGGAAGGTGAGAGTCGAGTGTCTCCTACCTCTGCAGGTGATGTTCTGCACCCTCAACACCCACAAAGTGGACATGGATAAGCTCCTGGGAGGCCAGATTGGGCTGGAGGACTTCATCTTTGCCCATGTCAAGGGGCAGCGTAAGGAGGTGGAGGTGTTCAAGTCGGAAGAGGCGCTGGGGCTCACTATCACGGACAACGGGGCTGGCTACGCCTTCATCAAGGTGCCTGAGGTTAGGGCGGGCCATAGGTCCCAGGGGCGGAGCCACAGGGCTGACACCCCTCTCTCCTCAGCGCATCAAGGAGGGCAGCGTCATCGACCACATCCAGCTCATTAGCGTGGGCGACATGATCGAGGCCATCAACGGGCAGAGCCTGCTGGGCTGTCGGCACTACGAGGTGGCCCGGCTGCTCAAGGAGCTGCCCCGAGGACGCACCTTTACACTGAAGCTCACGGAGCCCCGCAAGGCCTTTGGTGAGGGGCTGCCGCCTGGACCACCAATATACTCCCTGTTCACTTGGGCCCGGGTTGCAGTGCCACGAGCCACCAGAAGGTGGCGCCCCAAGCCCAGCAGGCCGAAAAGGAAAGCGTGACAGCCCGCCCTGCCCTGGGGAGGGGATGCTGGCTCTCAGCCTAGCCTGGGAGGAAGGTGGGGACGACGAGGAAGTTGCCCCCACACCCAGCTTCCAGGAGCCATTAGCCCAGCCAAGTGCCCCCAACCCTGGCCAGTTACCCCCCCCAAGCCCAGATAAGCCAGGCTTGGCTGCCCTGTGCCAACCCCCTCTACTTTTCAGTCTGGCTTCACTAACTCTCAGGAATGGGCTCCAGGCCCCTAGGGTGGGGGTGGGGGACTCTGAAACACTTCCCCAGGCAGCTAGGGCTGGTCCGAGGCCCAGCAGCTGTATCCCCATGGCCCTGGGGAGAACAGCTAGAGATCAAGGCCCCACCCCCTTCCTGACCCTCAAGCCCTAATAGTAGATGTGGCTTCCTTTAGTGTCCCCTTCAGCCTTTCCCATTCCCAGCCCCTGGCTGCCCCTCTCCTATCCATGCCAAGCCTGAGTCAGGAATCCTGCCCTCCTGGGATCAACCTCAGCCCCCAGCTGCCCCTGGAGCCTGCAGGAGCTTGGAGAAGGTAGAGGGGGGTGTCTAAGACCAGGATGTCTGGGTTTCTGTCCAGAACATGCTGGAATTGGGCTTCCTCCACTCTCACACCTCCCCTGCCTCCCACAGACATGATCAGCATGCGTTCAGGGGGTGGCCGTCCTGGGTCCGGCCCCCAGCTGGGCACTGGCCGAGGGACTCTCCGGCTCCGATCCCGAGGCCCTGCTACAGTAGAGGATCTGGTGAGTGTTCCAGCTGGACCCCAGGCCCCCTTCCCTGCACAGTCATAGGTAGCAGTATCACCTTTTAGCTGAGGGGCTCCAGGCACTGGATTCAAACCCACCTCTGCCTCCTCCCAGCTCTAGGACCTTTCTTGGGTAAGTGGGCCTTATTAGTTTCCGTGTCTGTAAAATGGGGGTAATAATACTAATAATGTCGGGGTTGTCTTGAGAATGAACTGTGGGTTAATATACATAGTTAATAAAGTGGCAAAAAAGAGACGTGACACTTAGTAAATACAATTAGAGTTATATTTACATTATTATGATGCCATTTTCCCTCCTCCCACCCCACCTCCAGCCCTCTGCCTTTGAGGAGAAAGCAATTGAAAAAGTAGATGACCTGCTGGAGAGTTACATGGGCATCAGGGACACAGAGTTGGGTAAGTGGTTGGCACTTGAATCTGTAGGGGTGGGAGGCTTCCAGATCCTGTGGACTGAGTCTGCCCTGAGCACCTCTGCTATCTGTACCTCCACTCTGCTCCTCCCACCCCACAGCAGCCACCATGGTAGAGCTTGGGAAGGACAAGAGGAACCCAGATGAGCTGGCCGAGGCCCTGGATGAGCGGCTTGGTGACTTTGCCTTCCCTGATGAGTTTGTCTTTGACGTCTGGGGTGCCATTGGGGACGCCAAGGTTGGCCGATACTAGACCTCCCACTGGACCTTGCAATGACCTGAGCCTGGGCTGGTGGGAGCCCCTGGAGGGGGGACACCACAGCCCAGGCTCCAGCATCCGGCTTAGCCTGGCCCTGGCCCAGCAGTCTCAGGATGATGTGGCGCGGAGGTGGAGCCGAGCCCCTGCCCCACTCCAATCGGTACCACCTCCTCCCTAGTTTCCAACCTGGCTGGGGTCCCCAGCTAACCCCCCCATTCCCACCCTGTTCCCCACCTACCTCAGCCAGGTCAGGCTCTGTGAGGGACCAGCCAGATTGGGCAGCCAGACCCCGCCCGCAGCACTTTCCACAACAGCTGCCAAACTGGTCCCTCTGTCTCCCTGGGGCCTCGGGTTCTGTTGGGGGGTCCTGACTTCCCTGGTTTCCTGACACAGGGAATCCAAAAGTGGGGGGCATCCCCCCTCAACAAATGCAATAATCCCCCTTTCCACCATCCCTCCAGAGGAGCTCCCTACCTCCACATTTGAAACTCGAGTCTGCTGTGAACCCCCCATCTCCCCACCCCACTCGTGTGTCTCCCTTGGCCCAGCCCCAGATGGACGGCATGAGGAACAATGGCGGTGGGCTTTTGTATCTGAACTTACTGTTGAACATAAAGACTCTGCTGTTAGACCTGTCTGGTGGCCTTGGGGTGGGAGTGTGGGGTGGGCCCAGGCTGGGAAAAATGTAGCAGCTGAAATCCATCCTCTTCGGGCTCCAAATGGAATTAGGAGCTGGCCCTGGCTGCCCGCCCCCTCCCACCCGTTCCGCCTGATGAGGCTCCTGGCTGTGGGCCACCAGGCTTCCAGGCAAGGCCTGAGCTTTTTGGCCTACTGAGGGTTCAGGTCCTGCTCCCTTTTGAACAATGCCTCCTGCCACCCCAGCCTGATGTACACAGTGGGCACCAGGCTGCTGGCTACAGCCCAGGGCAGTGGGGAGCACCAGGGCCAGGAGGTGTGGAGGCCTGGCTTGGAAAAAGGAAGATGGGCGGTAGGGGGTTCAAACGGAGCCTTGGGCCTGCTGGGGCAAGTGCTATGGGGAGGAGCCCACCCCTGAAGCTGGGGGAACAGTCATGGTGCTCCCACACACCACATGACTGGACGTGCAGGGTCTGTGGGTGTCCATGGCAGGCTGTGCTGTGGACAGGACATAAACCCGGCCTGCTTGTTTTGACAGCCCACTTCATCCTTGAGGATTGAAAGGGGATCAAGGAAGGGGGGGACCCCGGCCAGACCAGGAGGGAAGAGCCAGGATTGAAGGGAGGGGAGCCAGCTAGGCTGGAGGTCCCTGCACGAATGTTTAGGGGGTGAGCCAAGAGGGGAAACGAGCCCAGTCCACTCTGTTTCCACTGGGTGGGCAACTGGCCCCCTGGGTGGGGGGGTGGGGGCACAGCTGGGCTGGGTGTAGTGTCTCTCGGGGTTACTCCATGCATTCCTGGGCACCTGTGGGTGTTTCATGTGTCTGTGCCAGTAGGAGCCTTCTACTGAAAGGGTGTGGTGTGTCCCAGTGTGGAAAGTAGCACTGGGTGTATCAGAACGTTGACTTGTGACCATATTGAGGGTGTCTGGGTATAACTGGCAGTGTCTACATGGAGTGTGGCTGTGTGACTAAAACTGTGAGCATGTGTGTGTCTGGATATTCCTGTTTCTAGGGTAGGGGGTGACCAGAAAGTTCTCAGGGTTGCCACTCCTTGTGTCTCGGGTGGGGAGTGTACTCATGGAACTTGTCTTGGACTATTAGGGGGTATCTCTGGGTGATATGGATATGGCTAGGGGGCTGTATTAGCGGTAAGGGTCTCAGGAGGCAGCATTTCAGAAAATGCTGAAAAAAGTGGCCAGTGATAGAGTCAGTAACTATGGGGATATCTCTGGTGCTGGGGGGTGCAAATGTCTTAGTGAATTCAGGGTTATGATGATGGCTGACCTCAAGGCTCTGAGGAATGTGGTTGGCTGGGGACAGGCTGAGATGCTGGCTGGTCTCAGGGTGTTAGGGGATATGATAGTGTCTTTAGGTGTGAGACTGTGTGTGTGTCCCTACTTCTCGGCGCAGGAGGTGAGGCTGCAGCCATGTATCCACAGGTGTATCCCAGGTGTCCCTCACTACATCCTGAAGCAGGATCTAGGAGAGTACCCTGGTCACTGGGCCTCCCCCCCACCCCCTTCCAGGGGTATGACTCTCTGCTGCACTGGCCTGGGCTTTAAGTCCCTGTGTAAATAGTGGGTGGATCTCCTGGCCTGGCTGGGCCTGACCCAAACTGGTCCACCTAAGGCATTGCCCACCACCACCACCCACCCAACATCCATGAAGGCTCTGGTAGGGCAAAGAAGTGCTGCTGCCCCCATAAGGGCTAGCCCCTCAACCTCAATCCCTGTGGATGCAGCGGCACCCCCTGCAGCCGCCCCAGCCAGCCCCTGGTGACGCTCACATTTTCCAGTGTTTAGATTTTATCCGCTTTATTAATGAGGCAGGCAAGAGGCCCAAGCCTGGAGGGAAGGGGGGTGCTCCTACCCTACCAAGGAGAAGGGGTCATGGGGGGGGGCAGGACAACTCCCTGGGAGCCCCCGTTCATCATAGGGGGAGAGTGGCCCCTATCCATTGCCAGGAGTACGGGGGGGGG